AACTGACTCGTCGTTTTTCATCTGCTGCTTTATTATTTCTCCCCACTCTCGGGTTCCCCAGTGCTTTGGCTGCACCTCTGTGATAATTAGGGTGCCTGATTCCCAGGCTCTGCTGCCTGCACAGAGGCCAGGGCAGAAGCAAACATGCCAGTGCAACCCCCTGGTTTGGGCTATGTCCTTTTTTATTTCCAAGCATGAGTCCCAACCTCTGCTGCAATCTTTCCTTACGCCTCTGCTCTTAGGACAGGACAGACCCCCCAGTAATACCATCCTGGGCATCATCCCGAAATGTTTCCCTTGTCAAAGAGGATGGCTGTGGGCTGTAGCTGCTCCTTTACAGCATGGTGCACCCCATGACACTGCCAAGATCCTACAGCCGGTGGTGAGGATGCGGAGAGTCAGGCGTGCATAAGCTCAAGTGCTTTTCCCAGGGTTATTACTGTAAAGTGCATCCCTGTTAGGAAAGTCAGAGAGCTTGGGCACAGCTGAAACTCAAATATCCACACGGAATTTGTTGGCAGAGGTGGGGGGCGGGATGTGGTCTGCTCAGGGGTTGAGCAAACTCCGTTTTGGAGGCCAAGAAAGTCTTAATGCTGATGTGGCCAGACTAAGCCTGAGGTCCAGAGGAGAGGTCCTGGCGTGGGGCGGTTTGCTAGCAGGGGGGGTTTACCAAAACCGGTAAGTTAGCAAGAATCAAGCCCAAATTCAAGGTGGGTAATGCTGAAAACCAGCATTTACCCTGAGAGTATTTGTGAATCTGAGAAGGGCTCTTTACAAACCCCTGTGCCTCCCAGCAAAAGTGAACATCTCAGCAGTGGTAAGAAGGTGAAGGACTCTTCACGCTGACAGCAAATACCAGACATCTCCTGAAGAGGGGCTTTGCTGGCTGTGTTGGCCACGGTCGCTGGACCAGGTGCGTGGACGTGGGCTCTGATGCAGAACCACAGGTCTCGCTCACCTGGAGAAACTCCGATGCCTTAGCCTCTGCTTTATCTCTGAAGAAGAAGGAAGCGTGAAAATCAGGTCATCAGACATTTCTAGGGCTCTCTTCTGGGGGAGATGAATAGATGTTTGGTACCACCCCACCCATGGTTACTTTGGTGGTGCCAGTTCAAGGTTGTTCAGTCCGGACATGATGGAAACAGCCTGGAACTATCTGTGCAGATGGAAACAGGCAGCTTTTGATGACAGCCAGTTCTAGGCAATTGCACATGAGAAGGATTGCATAGGTGTTTCGATACCGTGACCTGAATTTTTATACTCACCTCTGGTGGTGAGTTCATTCTGAGTTTGTCCAGGCTGTTGCATGTCTTATTAATGCTGGCAGTTTAGGTGATTTCAATATCTAAGAATGGTTTGAAAGTCTAATTAATGACATTTTCTTCTCATAGATATATGCAAAGGCTCATAATAAGGCAGATTAATTCTCCCCTTACAGCGGTTTTCTTTGATCCAAATCATCAACCCCTCCAGAAGAGAAGCGGGGTCTCTCCTAGGTCTGGGGCTACCAGGGCACGGGAGTCCCACACGTAGCTTAAAACTTTTACATGTTTGTCCAAGTTTTTACGCTGCTGCTTTCAGTCCAGTGCTGAGATGATCTGGAAGCAGCACAGGACTAATCCTCTCTGCATTTTGCTGCACAGACTGCGAAGCCTTTGGTATGAATCCAGAGCTAAAGACAAACTCCCACCTTCAGGGCATGAGCAGGGCTTTTAAAAGCACTGCTGACCTGTGCAGCTTATGCCAGCTCATGGTGAAAAGCTGCTTCACTGTCCTTCACCATGTACTGTGGTGTTGGAAATCCCTCTGGGTTGTATAGGGAGGGCCAGTGCTTTAGGGGTATCCCCAGCTTCGGGAGCGGAGCCGGGGGTCTCCATACATTCTCCCTCTGTCTTGCAATCAATTTACGGGTATTAACCACCCTGGACCTCCTCGGAGTCACCGCCTGGGCTCTCACAGCTTCACCCCCTCTATCCCTCCATCCTAAACTCCATGTTAGGGACGTGGTTTAGTGGTGGAATGGCAGCGTTGGACTTGATGATCTTAAATGGTTGGACTTGATGATCTTAAAGATCTTTTCCAACCTAAAAAATTCTATGATTCTATGATTCTATCCCCATGGGCCCCACAGCCCCCATCCTCACAAAGCACCACCAGATCCCATGGACCAAGTGGCAGCTGCTTTCTTGGTGGGGTGGCCTCCATCTCACTGAAGGTGCTGTGGGGAGTTGTATTTAATAAGAGCATCCTCAGTAGCATCATAGAATCACAGAATGGTTTGGGTGGGAAGGGACCTTCAAAGGCCATCCAGTCCAAACCCCCTGCAATGAGCAGGGGCATCTTTAACCAGATGAGGTTGCTCAGAGCCCCATCCAACCTGACCTTGAATTTCTCCAGGGATGGGGCATACTCAATGGAAGACCAGTGACGAAGGAAAGCAAGGGCTTCAGCCCCATGGGGAGCAGGGAAATAGCACTGTCACCCCAGTGAAGGAGGGAAAAGGAAAATTTGGGCAGTGGCTGCACACCCTGGGACTAATTATAAACCCAGCACTTCCCCCACGTTAGCCCTGATGCCTCTGCAATCCCCAGGCGCTGCGAGGAAGTATCTCGGCTCTCTCTCAGCTCAGAGAAAAAAAAAAAGCATTAACTATAGTCTCCAAATCGAGAGCATATCAGATATTCCACTGACAAAAAGGACCAAGAGGTGCCTTAGAAATGCATCTAAGAGGAGCGACTGGCACTCGGGTGGGTTTCACTGCCTGCTTTTTTCTGCCTTTTTGCCATGTGCTTTAGGGAAAATGAGCTGCTGTGTGGCAAAGCCGAAAGACTTGTACTTGAAAAAATTTGGCTCGAATCTCATCTCATCCAGAGAAACCTCCGAATATCACAGTGAGAGTCACTCTGCTCTTTTGGACTCTTTTTTCCTCCTGTAAAATAAGGATCAGTAACATTTGGAGCAGCCTCCTACCCTTCCTGTATTTCAACACCGCCTGGCGCAAACCAGCCCTGATATCGGTCAGCAAACATTACTGCCATCTTCTGAAGAATGGAAGATGTATGGGACATCATGAGGAGTACAATATGTCTCTTGTGCAATAAAACCCCACTAGCCTGACAACTTTTTCTGTTGGTCCTGCACAAATTATCCTGTCCTGTATTCCCAAACCCACAGCTTCCCACTCGAGGAGAAATAGAATCATAAAATTGTTTAGGTTGGAAAAGACCTCTAAGATCATCAAG